TCACAACCAGACATCCCAAGAATATTGCTGAACTGAAACAGTTCTGTAAAGAGAAATGGTCAAGAATTACTCCTGACCATTGTGCACATCTGATCTGCAACTACAGGAAACGTTTGGTTGAAGTTACTGCTGCCAAAGGAGGTTCAACCAGTTATTAAATCCAAGGGTTCACATACTTTTTCCACCTGCACTGTGAATGTTTACATGGTGTGTTCAATAAAAACATGGCAACATTTCATTCTTTGTGTGTTATTAGTTTAAGCAGACTGTGATTGTCTATTGTTGTGACTTAGATGATCAGATCACATTTTATGACCAATTTGTGCAGAAATCCATATCATTCCAAAGGGTTCACATACTTTTTCTTGCATCTGTATTCTTTATTTTTTGTTACGCGTCTCGTCTGATGTCCTAGACCTGCATAGCAGTCAAGATGAAAAAACGTGACAATGGGCAGAGCTTAGGCAAGATTCTGTTTCAGTTGCTGATCACATTTACCCACAATCCTTCAGTAAAAAGAATATAACAGGAAAGTAAATAGAAATAACGGGGTACAAAATGGCTGCTCCCAGATACTGAGATCGAAAGCAAGCAAGAAAATATACCAAAATATAAATAAAATAACAAGGGGTGTATAATAAGGGGCATAAGGAAAGGAAAACCAAAAATAAAAAACTGGGCTGCTTTATAGTGTTACTGCAAGCACCATAACCACTTCAGTGATTCAGAGTGGTCATGGTGCGGGAGTTGCTATGAAACGCTTAATTTACGGAGATTAACTCCTCTACTTGGGAGTTAATCTTGGGGCATCACCAGCCAGCATGGAATTAGAGTTCCAGGCCGACCAAGGTCAATTCTGTGCATATATCTAGCTACTGAATTGCAATCTTTGGCTGAGAGCGGTCAGCTGTTGCTCTCCACCAAGGAATAACCTGCAGGATTGGCGTTCAGCTCTGCATCACATCACAGTTATCCATAGAGGAGAACTGGCACCTGGTAGGACTAGGTAAGAGGGCAAAGTGTTGCAAAGCGATTTGCCCTATTATGGGTAAAGGGGCCGTCGTGACCACTACAACAGACTTTAGCCATTATGAACTTGATGGACACATGTAACTATGATGCTTGGAGAACCCTTCAATGTATGCAAGATGCTTATACAAAGGACGATGTACCTTTCTCCCAGATTACCCCTGTCTATACATATATTTATATTATTACATATGAGTGTCACATAGATGATAGTCTGCCTCTGTTTATATACAGAATTATAACTAGAGATATTATTTACACGTTGTGTGGCATGTTAATCAGTCTCCTCTTATGCTCCCTGGTCTATGCATTTATTTCTGATATAAGATATGATACATGACATCTCTCCATCACCTCCCGTCCATCCCCATCTCCCCAGAATCTGTATGTGTTGCCTGGGTCTCAGATGTGGTCTACAGATCCATTAACTTGTTTGCCTCGCACCAGTTCAAAAACACAACAAGCTTCATGCTGAGTTATATATCACAGCAGAACATTGTTCAGGATTTATGAGGCTGTTCCTGCCAGCTGGGGACCAGTAAAGGTAAATAATGGACTTTTGGAAGCAATAAAATTGAAAACAGGGCACACATACTTTTATAGATGAAAATGTTTATTTGGTGGCATTGTTTGCTGTGCAGACTTAATCTATTCGATATATACATAATTCTTGGCTAGATGGGACATTTATACAAGCAACTTGTTTTTTTAATGGAAATGTATATACGTGTCGGAGTTTGTAATTAGTCCTGGCGTTTAAGGTATTTGCAATAACCCTTCAAACATTCTCTGGTGACTTGTAGAAACTGAAGGATGTACAAGTTGGAACAATTAGAATCAACAATTTGTAGTTCATTTTCTTCTTTAAAGCAAGGAATCCATCTCTGTACTGATGGTATAATTGTTAAAAAGATTATTTTTACAGAATTTAACACGGTCTCCTGACGTGACCCTGAATTAAGTCAGGAATGACACAACAGGAGACACAATTAAAAATCAAAAAACCAAATGTATCTCCTTTTTCAAAACATCTCATCAGGAGGGTTTGAATTATTCTATGCAAATGTAAAAGAAAAGAACCGTTACCGTATTCGAAGAGAAAACAAAAGAAAACATTTTTGTTTGTTTTAAAATCAGTAGGAGAAAAATTTCTAACATTCTTTGATCATACTTATTATATTATATTTATTGTATTCCAAATCTTTGACTAACCACTTGCCTCGTAAAAGAAACTGTGCGTTCTTTGAAAAATATATATATAATTCCCCAAAATTCTGAAATTACGTGAAACAGCCGATCTTACAATTAGGAAAAAAAGAAAGGCTAAAAGAGGCCCAGAAATCTTTGTACGCCCCACATATTGCCCAGAATGGATGTTTATATATTACTTCAGACGTGCCAGCTTTGGCATTTCTGTGAATAGAAGAGTCAGGGGCGCAGCTGGCAACTAGTCATGTCCTTGAAGCAATCACTGGCAAAGTGTTTTCACTCAAAGGGGCATGTCATTGTGGTCGTACCGCACATTGGCCCAGTACTCCTGACACCATGGGTGTCCACGGTTGATCAGTAGGACTGTTTCCATTTTGTGTCTCACATGATAAAATAGTATGACCTAGTTATATTTATGGTTGGGCTAGTTATATTTATGGTTGATATGCCAGCCCAGCCAGTTTGGTGCTACGATCTGATGGTTTTTTTAAGTCCTTCTTGGTGACTTCTGAACATGTGATATCCTGGGTATGTTGTGTCTGTGAAAGTGATCAGATAGAGCAACGCCGGATGTCGCTATCTTTACAGTCTCAAGCACAACTTTACTGTCTAACATAGGGTCTAGTGGAGATGGATCTCCAGACCAATGTTCAATTGAACATTTTTAGAAAATTTCATTATTTTTCACACACTCTTTATCTGTGCAGAGGTAATGGAGATTGGAAGCTTAGGGGGGATACAGGGGATCAAACCCTTTGTGTAATGGATGGCTCTGAAATAATTAACTTAAAACAGACTGTAACAGAGCTCCCTGTACCCCTGGCTGGGTACCTCTGCCAAGGTCCGCTTCCTAGCTGGAACAGGGGACAAACCGCAGCACTTCTGCCCACAGGCGCCGTGCCCTAGAACCGTTTCAGTCCCTAGAACCATTCCAGTCCTTGCAAGGACTTTCCCCATTGAATCCCCTGCAAACTGGAACAGCAGACACAGGGGTTAAATCATCCTTCCCTCCAATAACAGGATGACACACAGTTTTGGAGTGCAAGCTGGATTCTGTTTAATGGCAGCCACAACTGGACTTATATGCATGTCCCCATGCAAGGGGTACTCCCCCTTGGACCTTGTGGGGGACTGCAGCACAACGTCACAGACCAATGACAAAGGTGTTTAAATACATGACACTCTCCTCTGCCTGGGAGATAATTGGATCAGTAACTGTACTAATTCTAATACAATTATCTCCAAGCACAGAAAAAAAACATACTTTTTCAAAACACCCCAAAAGTACTCTAAAAATATATAAAACCCCACAAATGTTACATCTGGGTAGCCCTGATAGCCCTGATCTGGGTGGCCAAGATATCCAAAAATCACCCAGATCAGTTCAGGAATTTCATGGAAGTCATAATTCACTGACAGTCCACCACCTACCTGTCACCATGTGATAGTTTGACATGTCTTGTTTCCACGATTCTTACTACTTCCACCTCTTTCTCTGTCCCTAGCCTGCATACCGGGAGCCAATGTATGAAGTATGAAGCGGTGGAGAGGAGTGCTGGGGAGAAAGGGGAATCAGAAATTGTAATCAGTGAGCTGCTGGCCTTGTAACATGGACAGATAGACTTGGGAGGTGGAAGCAAGGGATTTTCATGGAGAATATGTAGGATTAAAATGTCCAATGTCCCTTTAGCACCACATCCACCAGATACAAGACACTTGAGAGGTACGTTTTGTGTTTTCTCACTATAAGATTCTATAATCAGTCCATCAAAATCATCAGCAACAGGATAAATAGTCTCTTAACCCAACATAAATAGTCTCTTAAAAAACAACAAATGAACACAGGGGGTTGTGTGATACCCATTAACTGCCCACAGAGCTAAACCGTGTGAATTCCAGTGCTGGATTAATTCTATAATTGTAAGGCGCTGTGGAGCATGTTAGCGTCATACAATGCTAATAAATAATACAATTATGTGGGTTAGACTTCCAAAATTTAGACCAAACAAGCAGAAAGGGTCAATAATTCAGATTAATTATAGATTTTTTTCTGACTCGTTATGTTTGCTTCAATTTTTCATCAACTCATTCACAGCCTCTTGTAGCCATCAATGCACATACAATGTAATTATCCTGATAAAAACAGCTGGCTTTGTTAGAACCATTTAAAATGCTGAACTGAATCCACAATGCAAAAAAAAATGGTTACAAGATTCTCGGTTTATCTGAACTAGGAAAATATCTCCCTGTAGAATACTAGACGTGTGTAACAGCCTACAACCCCGCTCGGCACTCATGCCATTACATGCAAAACACATTTACACATACGGTATAGAAATCCCTGCACAATCCATTAGTGAGAAAAAACATTCTATTCAACTTATAAAATGCAGGACGATTGCTGATAGTAACCGGTAATAATGAGATAGCAGCAGGTATGTTTATTCACTGAGCACCTCACTTTAATGAAATGAAAACTGAATCTCAAACTGGAGGCTAAACTAGACAATCTGTCACTATAGATGACTGAGAATTTTACCAAATCAGCATTTTTGAAAGTTTGTAATTAGTTTTTTTTTTTTTTTTATTTCACTAGAGTTTGGCAGTTAGTAAATTGATTTCTTTGTGTTTATTCTATGCAGCAAGGAGGTTTGACCCCATGAGTATTCGGAAGTCAAGATAATTCACTTTTATTAAAGTTAAATTGAAATTTACAGCCCCTGTACGTGATACAGCATCAGATTACCTGGGTGCTAGTTACCATGGCACTGCAGAGAGATGTGGGCACTGTATTGGCGCTAGTTACCATGGCACTGCAGAGAGATGTGGGCACTGTATTGGCGCTAGTTACCATGGCACTGCAGAGAGATGTGGGCACTGTATTGGCGCTAGTTACCATGGCACTGCAGAGGGATGTGGGCACTGTATTGGCGCTAGTTACCATGGCACTGCAGAGAGATGTGGGCACTGTATTGGTGCTAGTTACCATGGCACTGCAGAGAGATGTGGGCACTGTATTGGTGCTAGTTACCATGGCACTGCAGAGAGATGTGGGCACTGTATTGGCGCTAGTTACCATGGCACTGCAGAGAGATGTGGGCACTGTATTGGCGCTAGTTACCATGGCACTGCAGAGAGACGTGAGCACTGTATTGGCGCTAGTTACCATGGCACTGCAGAGAGACGTGGGCACTGTATTGGCGCTAGTTACCATGGCACTGCAGAGAGATGTGGGCACTGTATTGGCGCTAGTTACCATGGCACTGCAGAGATGTGGGCACTGTATTGGCGCTAGTTACCATGGCACTGCAGAGATGTGGGCACTGTATTGGCGCTAGTTACCATGGCACTGCAGAGAGCAGAGGGATGTGGGCACTGTATTGGCGCTAGTTACCATGGCACTGCAGAGATGTGGGCACTGTATTGGCGCTGTTACCATGGCACTGCAGAGAGATGTGGGCACTGTATTGGCGCTAGTTACCATGGCACTGCAGAGAGATGTGGGCACTGTATTGGCGCTAGTTACCATGGCACTGCAGAGAGATGTGGGCACTGTATTGGCGCTAGTTACCATGGCACTGCAGAGAGATGTGGGCACTGTATTGGCGCTAGTTACCATGGCACTGCAGAGAGATGTGGGCACTGTATTGGCGCTAGTTACCATGGCACTGCAGAGAGATGTGGGCACTGTATTGGCGCTAGTTACCATGGCACTGCAGAGAGACGTGGGCACTGTATTGGCGCTAGTTACCATGGCACTGCAGAGGGATGTGGGCACTGTATTGGCGCTAGTTACCATGGCACTGCAGAGAGATGTGGGCGCTGTATTGGCGCTAGTTACCATGGCACTGCATAGAGATGTGGGCGCTGTATTGGCGCTAGTTACCATGGCACTGCAGAGAGATGTGGGCACTCTATTGGCGCTAGTTACCATGGCACTGCAGAGAGATGTGGGCACTCTATTGGTGCTAGTTACCATGGCACTGCAGAGAGATGTGGGCACTCTATTGGTGCTAGTTACCATATAATGTTTACATATGTTAGTTCATAATTGCTCATTTGCAAAACTTCTCCAACTCAGTTCAAGTTCCCAGTTCAGCTACTGGGCCTTAAATGTTCAATTCTATGGCAATTCTCGGCACTTCCTAACCTAGTGCGAGATGCCAGGCAGGCTATAAATTGTACAACAATCATGACTGTTCAGTTCCTACCAGACACATTTTCTTATTATTGTTTGATGTTAGAGACACATGGCATGTTTTACCATAAAACATGTCCCCCTTTTTTTTTTTCTTAAATACCCATTGAGAAATAATGTTGTAAATTATACAGCACAGTTGTGATTGATTGTTATAATTAGGAATAAACTGCAAAAAACTCACAGAAAGTGACAGAAAGTGAGAAGCATTTGTGGGTCTGCTGTTCAGTTATTCAGAGATAATTTGAGTCTAGCGAGGTGTGTTGCAGATTACATCTGCATTTAGTCTTTAATACAGCACTCATGATTGAATCTAGACAATGAGAGCTGGAGAAACGTATACACCAAGACACTACAAATACAATTACCGCCTTCCCTGAACAGACAATGCAATAAAAATATATTTTCTCGGAACTTGCAGCAAGTCCTGATGATGGATGATAAGCTGGTTTTACCATTTCCAGAGCGAACATTTATATTTTCAGGAATATACTACGCAATTTCCTCATTCTTTTTACAAAATTAAGACTAAGGGGAAATAACAGCAGATGAACATGAAATTCATCTTGTGATCTCAATAAATGCTGATTTAACTAGCTCCAATCTAGTGTGTGCCATAGCTGTGCCAGGACTGACCTGGATTGTGATGTCAATTGTTAAATCGTCAATATACACATTTAAAATCCCTGTAAAGGCAGCCAGATCATTACATCTCAATGAAGTGGTCATGCTGTGCTGGTTATTCGTTTTAACCCTGTATTGTAAATCATTGCTGTTTTGTAGATATGGCTCACATTAAAGGGCTAAATATTGATATAGTGACTGTTTTGCTGACAGACACTAGAGGTGCTCCTGGTGTGAGAACGGAGTCAGACTAGGTTCTCACAGCTAACCCTCATTTGATTGGATGAGCGCAGCGCTAGCCATGTCTGCATGGATGAGAAGAAGTGTTGGTGTGACGTCGTGGGAGGTAAGTTGAGTGGCGGCACTTACTGGATCTCTAAACCAAAGGCTGGCTTATTTTTTGGCTGGCTAGTTAGTGATAAGCTCAGGTGGACCTAGATAGACAGGAGCAACCACAGGAAAAGTCCAACCCACAGTGCTGGAGACAATGTCAGGATAAACATCAGGCTGAAACAAGAACTGGAGTGCAGCTCAGAGGCAAAACAGCAGGCCACGGACACAGATGGATCCAGGTTCATATCTCCTGTTGGGCCCTTCTGGGGTGACCATGTCTGTTGAGAACCGTGACATTCCTATTGATATTCAGATGTTTAAAGACAGAGTAGACTGTATTAGATATTTTGGAGGCGATATGACATGATTGCTACAATGAACGTTTAAAGATATTTCCACTATCAGATCTATTTAAGCTTTTGTCTGTGTTTCAGGAGGCAGAACTGCCAAATTAAGGATTATCTACGTTTGTCTGGGCATGTACCGTTATCGCTTGACCCTTAATTGAGGTTGTAAGTGACCTCGCATGATGTTAAATGTGCTTCACAGAAAACAATCTTTGACTAGTTTATACATTGTCTCCAGAATAAATCAACTCTTTCTGTCAGCCATTACCCTCAGACCACTTTAAGCACTCCCATATATCAATTTGTTACATTCACAGTGTGAAATCAATCGAGGAACTAATGGCAGGAGGAGCAACAAAATTACACATGAATAAAACAGTAGCCACCTAATTAGAGCTATGGATTTAAGTAAATAATGTATCAGTCCATATTCGTTCAAAAGCAATGTTCCACTGTAGGGGGTTTAACCTTTGCAATTCCACTGATAATTATGAGGTCAGTGAAAGACTGAATGTGAACACAGAATCCCTTTACTCTCAACCTCCTGAGAAGTCGGCATGATCATACAGGTAGGACTTTGAGAATGACCAGTAAATTTCCACCAGCAGATCACAGGTCATAAGAAGGCAGAAAATGATCATCCAGAGTTGCTTGAGCTCTCGTGCAGAGAGATCTTGCCAGCATTTCTTCTCTGGACTAGCCTTATAGGTGGGATCAGTCTGATATGCAGTGGGTGCAGGTTCTCTCTGTAATGGCACAAGTGAGCAAAAACATTTTTGGCACCTGAGCGGGGACAAACCGAAGGGCAAGCTGCTGAATTTCTCTAAGCTTTTGCCCATTCTCAGAGTTCTCATATTCTCTGTTTTTGTTGCATCGCAGGTCATTATACCTGGAAACAGATGGTCAGAGTCCTGAAATGGTGTCTCACTTCTTATGTCATCAGCCACTGTCAGTTCTAAACCAGCACTGATTTATACCAGTTCTGGCTCGCATCATACGGCCATTACTCAAACCACTGTGTCATCGTCAAATATTCGTGCTCTTGGAACTTGAGTTTGGTATTGACCTGGACAATTGTGAAGAACAGCATTACTAAGATTTCAGACGCAGACTAGAAATTAAGGAAGTTCATCTATTGAATCACTTGTCAGTGCTAGACCACGGTTAGCCATGAACCCGAGGGACTGCAATCCTATTGGGTTGTCTCTATGATTATAAGGGTAAAATAAGAAGGAAGTACCAAAGTGTACTAACCAGATACCAATTTAAAAAGCCACTGAACGTGGCAAAACGCGTCTCGGACGTTTTGGAGCACCTGAGGACTTTGTGATTATATTTTTATTGGTAGATTTCCCTAGAAGTTGCTGCTTCTATTGTTTTGATTTCTTTTTAAATACTATTGAAAGAAAGAAGAGGGTCAGTGTCCGCAGAGAACACATCTGGCTAAGTGCTCTGAGCCTGTCCATATCTGTCTCTATCCCATGTGAGTGTGTAACATATATATTTTGTACACACTAAACTTCTCTAAATATACTACACTATATATTTATCATTTTCTCGTATAGCGAAAGCTGTATTAGATATCTCTTATTGAATAAGGGCAAGTTGTTTATTTTTGTAAGCGCTCCACAATAAGCACGGGTGGTAGTGTTAACACCACTCCGTCTATTTTTGTACACTAAAATAAGATGTAATCTATAACTCTATGATGTAAATATTGACGTCCATTCACTCAACAGTAATCACTTGTTTATTCAGTTCTGGAAAACATCACACTAGCCTGCATGGTCACATCGATAGAAGTTATACTTGGATAAAATCAGAGCAATAAGTAATTCATTGATTCCATTGTGATTACTCCACCTCTAATATTTTGCCCCCAAATTGTTTTTTTTATATAACTGGCCCACAATCTACTGATGATTAAACAATAACATGTCTTAATATTTGAAATGTCTGACATTATTATTAGCAGGTTTCCTTTAAGGTAATTCTTAACGTCTAACCTTATTAATCAGATTTGAAAGATGTTTATACCTGTATATTATTCAGGGCACTTTTACATCAAAGAGAATCCAAAAACTCTTGTCATATTTGGAACAAAGAATGAATTCTTTCAATTCCCCGTATGGGGTCATCACTTCCCAAGTTTATTAGTTACTTGAAACCTGAAAGCATTGCACATTGTTAAGGTTGAAGAATTAGGACAATGCAGGCGTCAGACTTGACAGTGTTGAAGGCTTGAACATTAAAACAAAAATTCTCTAATGGCAGGGCATAGCTGTCTGCTCTCTACTCATGCATTACAGATAAAGTGGAGAGGACTGCCAAACACTGAAAGAGAACAGAAATGTTGCTGCCCTCTGCTCTGCAAAAATGCCATCCATTTAGAGGAGATGCTTTTATAAACCTCCTTTACGTTGTTTGGGCATGTTAGGCAAGCAGCATGAAGCTTGTTCTTCTAAATGGTAAAAATCTGAACAATAGATTGCCTCCAATAGTCTATTCATGCTACATTATTATCGAATCCCGCAATATAATAACGGTCCATTGTGATTGGTAGATTGGAATTTAATTCTGAAATATATCTATGTGTTCTTAGAGGGGGGGAAATGAGAAGGAACATTCTGTTACCATGGCAATCAAATAATTGCTCTGATTTTCTGTTTGGGGTAAAAAGCTTTCGAGGTTATGCATAAAGAGCTATTCTAGATTAAAGTAAAAGTTGAGCAATCACCATGGAAACCAACAGAATGTTCATTCTGATTGCTCCACTTTTAGTCCCAACTAACTGGCCATTAAATTGAGGGTGGCAATAGTCAGAGGAGAGTCAATCTAGACTTACTGGCATGAGGATAAATCGAATAAATCTGTCAATTTAAGAAAGCTTTTTATATGGAAATATCTCTCACAAGGGGTTACTTAACATTTTATTTTGAAAACTCTTGTTCTCTGTGTTGATATCTATAAAGTGACCGTTTACGGGAACTGCCAAGTTCTAACTGCCTGAAGCAAACCAAATCCTTAAAGCTTTTTGTAGAATAAGATTCAATTTAAATAACAGAAAGTGTTTTCCAAGGTTTTGTTATGAGCCGTGCATAGTTTCCTTTTGCTATCTCTTCTGTTAACAGGTATGGGAAACGTTTTTTCAACTTCACGGACTTAGCTTCTATCTTAGTCTTATTATAATTATGCAAAAACAACTAGTTAAAAAATAGGAAAAACTTTTAACAGTACTCACAATTAAAGTTCTTAGTTTTAGTGTAAATTTGCACAGTTCCTGTCATGAGTCTTGACCTTTGCTCACACTGACAATTCTGACTATACAGGAGCTGTTCATCCTGATTTATGGAGTTTTGAAGGGACGCTATAGGCACCCAGAGCACTTGATCTCATTGACGTAGTCTGGGTTCAGTATCCCTGCTCCCTTAGTCCTGCAATGTAAAACATGGGTTAGAGAAAGTGCTAAGGTTACATTGTAGGGTTAAGACTGCCTCTAGTGGCTGCCTACCAGACAGGCTCTTAC